CAATAAGATAATCTTTCTTGGCCTTCTAATTAAAGTTGTAGAGCTATCTTTTCTGGTTCTAATAGTTTTTAGATCATTAAAATCGGACTAGTAGATCCCAAGATATTTGGAATTAAAGATGTGAACATAAGGATCTACAAATTAGTAGTTACACAAAGTCTTATCCCTTAAACTGTTTTTCAGGCAAATTTGCCTGGAATTTTTAAATCAGGTAACAAATATTCTCATAGTACCAAATCGCACTAAGTAAATGCTCTCTAATGCATAATTTTCCAGAACCAGAAGAACCTGTCCAATCATAATTTCCAGGCAAATTTGTCTGGAAAACAGTTTACGATTTATTTTAAATCAAAGTTGGATATAAATATTTAAGATTGACAATTGTACTGTACGCCTACTGTAAGCCAAATTGCATTAATAATAATTTAAATTGTCAATCTTAAATATTTATATTCAACTTTGATTCGAAATAAATCGTGAACTGTTTTCTAGACAAATTTTCCTAGAAATTTTATTAGATAATTGGTCAGATTCTTCCAGTTTTAAAAATCATACATTTTCTTTAAAGTTATCAACCTTTCGCACTGTACGAATATATATATACATATTCGTACATACATAAGTATACACGCATGCATGCGCATACTCTATACTTATAAAAAAACATGCGTTAACACAATAGAGTTTTATCTTTGATAATGATAGTTCCATAGTCATGAACAAAGAAAAATAACATTAGGCTTTGCTCTTTGTCTTCATCTTATCTAAATCAATTTAATGTATTGTTATGATAATACCGTTTATTAAGATATTTAGACAATCGGCATGTTTAAAGTAAAATGTATGGTTAAATAATAAGAAGTAATTCAGATACATACATTTGTTTCCTTGTTTAGATGTTGGCTGAATTGTTGCGCGAATATAAAAATAAAAGTTTCAAAATCAATTATTTCGCTTGCTCAAGTAATTGATAACAAAAAATCTTACTTATTGTGGGTTGTAAGAGTGATGGTGTGTTCTGTATTGAATTAAGATAGTAACGGACTATCTTCTAACCTTGTCAATTATCATTTTTTTGAATGCACAGTTTTTTTTTTAATCGCTACATTCTTTTTTTTTTTGATCGCTACATTCTTTTTTTTTTTTGATCACTACATTCTTTTTTTTTTTGATCACTACTTTTTTTTTTTGATAAACTGTTTACAATAACTATCGTGTTTTTACATTTCGCATCACATATTTTTTATTGTACTTTACAAGTTTGCTTCCTTTTTTTTTTTTAAGAACAAATTATTCATGTCTTCTGATGACGGGAATTCTGATACACAATATTTGGTTACTTTTGAGCATGATAACTATGGTAAATTGATTATTAATTACGAACTTGTAGAAGTTGCCAATGATAATGAGCAAGAATTCAATGAACAAGATTGTGTGAATATAGAACTGGATATAGAAAGTAGTAGCAGAAGTGAAAGTGGAAGTGGAAGTGGAAGTGGAAGGGTAGAGTAGGGGAAGAAGTAGGGGAAGGGGTAGCACGAGGGCAAAGAAAAAGGTAAAGGAAAAGGAAAGTTGATAAATAAAGAAAAGAGTAAAAATAATGAAGAGGCGCAAACTAGTAATATCAACACCGATATAGTATTACCAGTGTTAGAATGTCCTACATTTAATTCTATGCGAGACCTTTATCCACTTCATAAAGGATATGCAACACTTCCTCATGAATTTCAACTTGGAATCATTACTCCGCTTGCACTATTTCAGTTGTTTTTTACAAATGAACAATTGCAGACAATAGTTGAGAATATTAATATATATGAACAAGTAAAGGGTAGGGAAAGAGGTCATCCGTGGAATCTGTTAACTTTAAGTGAGTTAAAAATTTGGCTTGGGTTGATTATTTACATGGTGTTCATCAAATTAATGCTGTCGAAGATCTATGGAATCAGGATGAAAAAAAGGCATCACATGAGATTAGAAGATTTATGAATATGGTTAGATTTTAACAAATAAAGAGATTTTTTCATATTTCATCTTCTAGTGAAGTGCATCCTTTTTGGTATTCTAAAGTGGAACTATTGGGACGCATATTCAAGAGGCAGTTTAGAGATTTTATGTACCTAGCTCAAATATTTCCATTGATGAGATGATTGTATGCTTCTCCGGGTGAAGCGCCCACACAGTAAGGATGAAAAACAAACTAACACCAGAAGGCTACAAAATAATCTTACTTTGTGATCATGGATATACATGGGTGTTTTTGTTTACTTCGCGTGTTGAAAAAAACATATCTTTAGAATCTATTTCTGGCCTTAGTAATACAGGAAGCATGGTTGCACATTTAGTTTGTAAGCTTCCTCGTGATAAAACATACCATATGTATATGGATAACTACTTTTCTAGCATACTGCTTTTTAAATATTTATGTGAAAATGGTGTTGGCGCCTGCAGTACTGTTCGTACGAATTCAACTAGATTTCCCAGAGAATTAAAAACTATTAAAGAATCACCTTTAGATTGGAACACACTTTTAGGTAAAGTAGTTGATGATGTTTTGGCCATTCTCTGGATCGATAATGGCCTGGTAACTATATTGTCCACTATTCATAAAATTTCCGGTAATAATTCTAAAGTTATTCCTAACTGGCGGTGTCCATGTGAAACAAGTTCTAATGCAAATACTGTTCGTCGTATTTTTGGAGATGCATATTGAAAAGAATTGGAAATTCCACAGATAATCGATGACTATAATCGTTATATAGGTGGTATTGATATCGCTAACCAACTTCGTGAATACTACAACTGTCAACTAACAGTTAGACGTACATGGCTTCCTCTA